AAATAATTTATTTTTAACTAATTTGATTTCTTAAATCGATTCCAAAATTTAAGTTTTATTAATCCATAATTAAGCTATTATATTCCAAGGATCAAATGGTACGAAGTCACCAATCTTTTTTGATAACACAATTTAATTTGTTGCATTACCTTAATTTTTGAATGTTTTTATTACTTCTGTATTATGTCATAAAGTCCATCACACTAGAGTTTCAGAAAGTTTATTTTCAATATATGTTGATAAGCAACAAAAAAACGTATTGGCGAAAATCCATAAAAATTTACAAAATGGTTACATGGCTATAAGCTATTTGGAGAAAATTATATTAAATGTAAAAAATATTTATTTCGATTTTATTGTCATTTATTTTTGGAGAAAAATAATAAACGATTTTATTGTCATTTTTCGTTAAGATGAATTATGGAGCAAACTTCTCAATATAATTTTTTTTATTAGTTTTACCCAAAAATTTCTCTCTTTTAATTTGCATTAAAAAAAATGGAACTAACTAATAGCACAAACAATGATACATTATGCGAATCTTACTCCTAAACAAAGAGAATATATTATTAATCCGATATGCCAAGTTTCCAACAAATATAATTTGAACTTTCTTTTTAGATATAAATTAATGATTCTCAAAGATTTTATTTTGAACTATTGCTGATCACCCTATCAAACATAATTGTCGATTGTCAAAAATCATCTAACTTTCAAAATTTTAAGAAACTCATAATTCTAATAAATATTTCTCTTTTTTCAGAAAAACAGAGATGCATCCGTAACAAGAAGATTCCACTGAGTGCATTGACCAATTACTAGATTAGTACGTTCATTGGCTCTTTAGTCCTTTTCTAATTTTGTAATGAGTAGTTTAAGAAGTTTTTTTTTTTTTTTTAAAGAATTTGAGCAATCCTCAAATCTATAAGAAGGTATCTTTTTCTATTGAAAGTATCAAATTTGATATTTGAAAATACGACATAATATAGGTTGTATAATGTCGAGTGGTTTGTGGTTTGAAACCAAGATATCAAACGAGCAATTAGGTGTAATCATAATTATACGTGGAAGATGGAGACATAATGACGTATTGAAACCACATTATTTGACTAATTAATTGGATAAGAATGCATATTTTTTCAATATTATGATTAATATTAATAATTTCATAACTTAACAATGAATAAATATGTTTTAATTTGATTCTCGTTTGATAAAAAAAATTACAGACTTGAACTAACTACCTATAAATCTATTTCTCTACATAAATACATGACATATTCCACTAAAAAAATTTGAACAAAAAACGCTTCATAATTTCACAAAAATGCTCCAAACAAATTAAAATATTTACATTTTATTTGGTTTTATATGTTAAATCAATTTTTGTTTCTGAATCCTTACAGACCTAAACGAAAATTTGATGATTGCAACAGAGATGAGATTAACACACCAAAAAGGAATGCCGATCTTTAACCAAAAGAAAAAGGAATGAAGGCATATCGAAAGCAAAAGACACCGAATCGTCGGAGGTTAGTGAAGTTTACACATTAATGTTTTAATATTAGCCATAAAATTTTATTAGTTTATTTGGTTAACCATTTTATTAGTATTACATGACATAAAGAGAGGTAACATAATTGATTGTGTCTTGTATCCAAGTGCTCCATTTCTCGATTTTATAATTATGTTTCGTCTCTTGATTATAACTTTCTATTATATGGATTCTAATTAGGGATTCTAATTTTTGTTCAACTTTTAGTAAATATAAATCAGTGAAAATTAAAAAACAAAATGATTGTGAAATGACTAATCCTTAGTAAAATTGTTTCAACGAAGATATTTAATTATCTTTCTAAATTCTTTAGTATGAAGATATTGATAAATATATTTTTGTTTCATTTAAAAATTATTTTCTAAGATATTTATCTACCTAAGATCGTTCAATACTAAATTCCATTGTTAAAATCGGAAATTTATAGGCACATAATCGCCAAATGCTCTAATACTCTTCAATCATGTATATATTCGAAGTTCGAAGCAACCATGCTTCAACCAAAATTTGAATTCGTAGAAAATACATTAATTTTTTTTTATAGACTACTTTTAAAGTTTCAAATAAACTCATAAATTTATTTAATCCTCATACATCATAGACATCTAAATGTCGTAGATCGATCAAATAAATTTATGGATTTAAATTACTAAAAATCGATGATATAGCTTATATTTAAGGATACAAGATTCAATCTCTAATGGATTTTACGGGGATAAAATAAAATTCTTAAATATATAGTAATTTTATATTACGGAAATTTTTCATATCCGCACACGGTTCGGATCATCTACCTAATTTAAAGTAAGACTAAATACGCAAAACAATAACCCAAAAGGATTGAAATATTTAGTGGAGAAGATAATTGTCTAAAAATCATGGGTCCATTTGTGAAAGTAATTGAGAAAAATACTACTACTAGTATTTTGAATGTTTTTATATAAATATTTTTAGAGAATTACATTAGATGAATACCATTGAATTCTTCGACTTTTTATTTAGTTTCTGGGGGTATCTGAATTTGTTTTCTTTCAGAAACGTTATTTTTTGTTTTATCTTGCTAAAGAAAATGGTTGACAAATTGATAAAGGAAATGAGTCATTATGGAAACAAACGAATCCCACAAATTGCTATTAAAATAAATTAATTAATATGAAGTGAACAAGTCATGTCCCTATTAGTCCACGTGAAGTATAAGGTGACGTGTCTATTTTACTGAGTAATAAGAGGTGAATAATCCGACGTGTCATTCAGCTTTCGACAGTCCAATAATGTGTGTACAGTACTTGGGCTATGTTCCCGTGCGGACAATCCCATCAGATACTACTCCAATATACACTATTTTCACAGCACACACCAATGAATGAGTTACAAATTAATTGTTGTAGAATTTTTGTTGCAAGTGTACATTTTTTTTTTTGCAAATTTTTTTGCTATAGATATAATAAGCTATAGAATTTGTGCTGTAAATATGTTGATTGTAGCTGTAAATATTTTAAAATAAAAATATGATTGGTAAGTATAAAATAAGTGCTGTTTTTTTAAAATAGATTAACTAGTTTTATAAAAATAAAAATGTTTTGTACTAATTATACAAAAAAAAAGTCGAGTTTATAGAAACTTTTTGTTATGTTCAATGTAAAAAAAATGAACCTCTAAACCTCTAAATTATTTTGAAATGGACTTAA